TTCTTCCTCTTCCCCTTTTCGTTGTATTCTTGYATTTTATCCACAACATTTCCCAACGACAGGGATGAAAATACAACAAACAAATTAGTTAATTCATTACTTGCATTCAATTTTCTTTTCCTTTTCTATATAGATTCCATTTTGGTATTAATTTATCTTACTCTTTTTTCGTTTTTTTACTGTAAGTTTAATACGGTCTTGTCAATACTTTTAGTTGATTTATTGTGACATTATTTTAATATTTTTTTAGGGATGGAGATTTGAATCGAGGATATGTATCATAACTAGTTGAATTATTGTGTGTTTGTGAGTGTTTGTCATTGTCAAAATCACTTTTTTTCCATTATAATGTTTGGCAAATTAAAATTTTGATTTTATGAAAGCTTAAAAGTACTTTAAATTGATTTTTAAATGTCTTCGGTAATTTTGAAAAATTAATTATACATAAATATCTTTTTCTAAAATCATTCGTCCTATCATCACTCTCAAACACACATAATCATTTAAAAAAAATTATTCAGTTTTTAAATAGTTAAAATATGAATAAAATTTATATATAGTACYAATATGCATGTTTGTTACATTATTTAGATGACTTATCTAATGATTAAAATACGTTCGCTTAGGTACTCAAAAGAAATATATACTTTTACTTTGTTTCAAATATATACACACATGTACATACATAACATATATATTTTTTACTTTGAGTATTTACATATAAAAGTTGATGGTATTGATCATCTTATTTTTAATATATTTAGTTTCACCAATGAAAAATATACATATTTTCTCAAAAGAGGAAAGATATACATATTTGTTCTGAATGATTTCTGTGATGGCCTAATGGGAATGTTTCATGACAATGGGTGTGAGAATAGAAAAACAAACAAAACAAATATTCGCCACTGTTAACCATTAATCTACATGTTTAAGAGCAATATAGTATATCATAACACCAATAGACATAGGTGGGACAAAGTAAGACCGAGTGGGACCTAAGTAAGTCAAAATATTTAATATGAAAATATAGGTGACTAATTGTCACGTCTATGTAAATGTTGGAGAAAATATACATAACCAAACTATTTCACTTATTGAAACTCGACCACATTTTAAACTTTGACATACTTTGGTGCATATGACAAACATTGCATCGGTCTGTCTATTACATCTTACACTGCAACACTTCCTTTCATCGAAGTGACGTGCACGGAACCAATTAACTCATTGATAGTCCAAAATCACACAACTAGAAGTCTATGTTGTATTTAATTTTATTAAAAACATTTTATTTTTTGGTAATCTATAAAATATATATATATATATTATATTATGATTCACTCCATTTATTTTTTAAATAATATTTTAAAAAACAATATTGATCCCTTAAACTCCTGCATTAATGAGTCCCAAAAAAAAACCTTACAAGGTCAACCAGAGGTTATGCACCAATAAATAGACATCTCAAGGTCATCGATTAAGTATTTATTGAACACCAACATTTAAAACTCCAAAAATATCAAACACGACATTAATTCTTAAATCAACGACTTTAATATTATTATCTATTCCAAACCAATGAATGCTAGTATAGTGTCAAATGAATACAATAAATAAAATCCCATTAATAAAAGTAATCAGGCTCTAAACCATTATTCAGCTTATTTAAAATAAATAACCAATCTTAAAATCATGAATAAACAAAAATCAAAACCATGTTTGTCCCAAACTTTACCTCCATAGTCTTTGCCCAAAGAACACTCATGTGCTAATAGGGCAACCATTCTGATAGAACAAAAATAAAAAGTAATAATAAACATAGGTTACTGGTTAGGAAATTATAACCTCGACCAAAAGTTAAGGACCGAATCCCCGTCTACCCAACTAAACAAAAAATACTCTACCATGTAAATGAAGGCAGTATATAAGAGGGGCAAGCATTATATTTTGAAGCTAGAGCTATGATAGAAGATAAATCAGCCATTTCTCCATAATCACCAAGTCCGAGTTCAGTTGTGTGGATGCCACCGGTTACGAAAACCGATTGGATTCCCGCTGCATTTGCACCCTTGATGTCGTGGTGGAGAGAATCGCCAACAGCAAGTGAATCAGATGCATCGACACCAGCCATGGACATTGCTGATTGGTAGATGATCTAGTACCATAGGGAAAAAAGTTTTATTGGCTGAAACAAACTCAGAAGATAGTAGTGATAAGCAATTGAAGTTCGCATACAATCAATTTAACCAACTGACTAATGAGAATTTTCATATCTACAAGGCCAAATCCTTGGGCAATCAAGCACAGAGGACGCCATGCTAATTTATTAAATACTTGTTGGAAGAAAATTAATAAAATGCTTCACTTAAAAAGTACTTTTTATCTATTTCTAAAACCCAACTACTCTCGAGTATCGCTTTAAAAACATTAAAAAAAATTGATGGGTTAAACTTTCACTCACTCTTTAAAATAACCCAATACTACCAGTTCTTTAAAAAATACTGTAGTCCTTCGTAATAACTTTAAAAGGCATGTCAAACACAGACTAGAAATGCAAAAAGCTAATTTGATCACATGAGATGGTAATAAGCAAATGCAAAGGCTGCTACTTTTTCAAAAGTAACCTTAAAGATGGTCGTCCAAAATGGTGAGCAGATTAATAACTTGCTACTTTCCCTCGAGGTTGGTGTTGGAAACTAAGCAGGAACTTGCAAGCAAAGTCTAAGACATCTTAGATAGAAACTTGCACTTAAAACAGAATATCAAAATAAAACAGGAATGGAAAAACGTGACAGACTGCAGATCATACAACGAATATAAAAAGAAAATGATGTATGATTCTCGACCAGACAGCTCTACACATACTCTTCCCAATACTATGATTCCTTTCATCTACATTGTTTTGACATAGATCACCATCAAATCAAAGACCTAGATAGAAGACTAAAAGTCAAGTAAATCGTTCTTAGATGGAAGGTGAAGGCAAGTAAGTTGGTTCTATTTGCATCTAGTACCAAGCACATTGTGCATTAACATGAAAAATCGGTGCAAGGTTAAAAGATTAACAGCAATCACCTTATCAGGTTTGCCCATCCATTTCACTTCACCACCAAGCTTTTCATATTTAGATGCAAGAGTACCTGCAGCCACCATCAATTCATTTGATATACAAGGTCAATTAAATAATAAAAGACTTAAGTTTCAGAATTGTAGACTACGTTAGCATCCCAAATCTCACAGTACTTGCACCATTCTATATCACCTGACATACAAGTTAGAAGGAAAAGATCAAGAGAGGGATTAGGCTTATCGTACAGTTTCCTCTTGGAAAGTATTTGCACAAACATATGGCACAATTAGGTAATACATTTGTTCCATGATAATGGGAGTTGGAGCTTTGCTCCCGTCGCAGAGAATTAGGCAATACATTAATATTATTAAAATGCTGCAAAAGAGAGAAATTAATGGTATCTAGGTAAAAGCATTAACTTTGCATACTTTGGATGATAAAAGCTTGCTCGAGATTTCCCTCGCTGAGATAAGTTAGTTTTATTTGAGAAATTAGAATTCAATAAAGAAAAAACCATTAAAAAGGATTTAAGTTTTTGATGTTGAAAGAACATTTGATATGAATCTATTAGCATGCATGTTCAAGTATTTTCAATTGCTATGTAATTACGAACAACCCAGAAAGTCAAGAATTACTATATTAAAGGCTTGTAATTTCCCTTCTGACAAGGGGCATTTAGAAAGTATTTCAGCCATTTCTTTGTATGGTATAAGAACTCTAATTCGGAGGAGTGTGATTCTTAAAGTCTTCCATACGTGACTTTTTAGAATTCTGATAAAAGTGATGCCAGTAGGTTTTCTCTTCCTAAGTTTGAGATCTATCCTTTCATCATCCTACAACTCAAATCACGTAAACATTCCTGTAAAAATTGCCCTACATAATACTAAGAGCCTGAGTTATCATATTCTTCCTACATCAAAAAAAATTTCTTACCAGGCATTACACGCAAATTTCTAGCCTCAACAGTCACATAGTCTGGGTTAGCTACCACCATCGGAATCTTTTTGGCCACACACTGCTCCAATATTTTCTCAAGTTCCTCAAGTGTCATTGGAAGTGAATCACCAGAAGGCTGCCCCAAAGCTTCAGTACCATGGGCCAATAAGAACTCGGCTTCTTCAACCTTATCCACAACTCTTAAGCCCAGACCCTACAAACAGGAAAAACCCAGAGTTCACTAAAAGTTTTCCCTTCACATCTTCATTTCTCCGCCATCAAAGTTTTCACAATTTCCTGTAACTCTACATTTTAGTCCCTTGAAAGTTGAAAATAAGGGAATAAAAAAATAGCTCATAGCCGGCAGGTGTCTCGCTACTAATTCTCAGTTCACTTTGCCTATAGGAAAAGGAATTGTGAAAGGCGGGCTCTAAGATCCTTAACCAGTGATATTATAATTTATAACAGCTGAGAAAGAGTTCAATTGACAATTATCCTTTCCTACGAGTCTAAGACTGTACTTCTCAAGTTTATTCATTGGGGAGGGGGGTACCAGCAGACATATGATCAGTGGGTTGACTGTAGAAAAAGGAACTCCAAGTCATTAATCAGAAGCGCCAAAACATTCACAGATCTGACTAAACCTCAAGTGATATAGCTCCACGGGAACTCCAAGTCATGTGAATGCAAGTTCTACCAAGAGCAGCAAACCACGCATCATCCCTCCTTTTAATAGCAGAAACCATAAAATGAGTTCACTAAAATGGAAGACCTTCCACAAAATCAATATTGAAGAATAAACAAATATAATTGTAATAGATTCAAGTTCTTAAATAGAGGTAGCTGCTGCACTTAAAGTATGACTAACTATATCACCAACAATGATGAAAAAATGGAGGAATTATTAATTTTTTTATGCAAACAGTCTATAATAATCTATTGGTTATATCAGTTAGCTAAGCTAACTATAGTTAGTTGTAAATACTTGAATTAGTTAAACGTTGTATTAATTAGTTAGCTTAGTTAGTTGATCGTTTTCTGTATGTTCATATCAGAGAGGTGACCTCATCAATGGATGAGATGAATAATGTTGACTCATTTTCCTCTCATTACGAGTGTTATGGTCAAAGAGATGTATCATATGTTGCAGAAAACGATTACCAACCTTTGAAGGTACTGATGAGTGAGTTCTCCACTTGTAATGGCTCCAACAAATAGATTGGGGTCAAATCCAAGGCTCTTCAATTTTTCCATCGTCGTCGATGAGCGTCTTGAAGAATTACTTATAATGACCATCTTAGTGCCACATTCTGCCAACTTCTTCACTGTGTAATGTAATGACAAAGGAAGTAACGGGATTTTATTAATTTTATGTTGAAACTCTATTGTAATGAATCTAACCCAGTCGAGTAAAGCTAATGAATGGAAACGCACACGCTACAACAGCTCCGGGATAAGGCTGTTTCCCGTCGTGCAGAACTCCGAATTGATCCAAAAACCAAGCCTGCACAGCCACGAGCATTCATCACGATCTCACGAGACAGAATTTCAATGTAGCATTTCACKTCATGTAAAAGACGATGAATATGATTCAAAGAGGAATGGAGACTTCTCCACCTCGAATTTAATGAAAATCGATCGAGTTGCAATTAGAAGTGATTCAATTGAAAGGAACGTCGAAATTCAACATTTGATTCAGTAGTAAAAAGGAATGAACAAGTAAATAAAGTATAACGAATCAGAATCCAAGACGATCAAATCATGAGTAAGCAGTGAGCAAGCAGATTACCTTGTATCGACGCATCTCGGCTAGCTGTTGAAGTCCGTTCAAGCTCTGAAACAGGTGGGACTCGGAGGACATCACAGAACATCCAGGCGCCATTTCTCTACTCCGTTCAATCCGACGAGGTGAAGTTTGATGATCTGAATATTCCATTGTTGGTTTAAATTAATGGTCTCTGAAATTTCTTAAAGTTTTTCATTTTTTCCCTCAACATTTTTTCTATAATTTAGGTGGTAGAAATTAGATCTGCGATTATCCCGTCCAAAATAGACGCCTTGATTATCCCGTCCAAAATAGACGTCTTAATCAATTCAACTGAGTGCTAACCTGGAACTAGAATTTGATTCCCAATCATACATGATTTTGAAAGTCGATTTGAAATAATTTAAGTCCCAAAATTTTACATTTCAAATAGTTCAGATTTATCAGGATTTAAAATTAAAAAAATATCTAATTTCAAATTTACCCTACATTCAATTATCGTTGAAGCAAAATAAAAATTTTTATACATTTAAAATTTCTCTTTAGTATTTTTTAAAACATTTTTATAAATTTTTTAAAAGTTTCCTTCTGAGAGTTTTTCTTCTATCAAAGTTTCCTTCTTGTGTAAGTTCACGAGAGTTTTTCTTCTATCAAAATATGTCAAAAAAAAAATTATATATATATATTAAGCAAGTAAGAGGTTGCATTAGAAGAAAAAGTAAACATATGAATTATTTTTGTTTCCATTTGAAATAATTCGACTTTAAGTTTTTTCAAGTATTTGTTTATAAGTTTTTTCATTTTTAATTTTATTGACAATGTTTAATTTAAAATCTTTATTTGATTTTAATATATGACTGAGATTACTATTCTATATTAAAATATTATATTATTAATATAATATTATCTTAAATTACAAGGATATAATAGCAAAATATTATACTTTTAATGATTTGAATTCCATTGGGTTCCAAACGCAATTAGAAATTTAAAATTATTTGAATTATTCAAAATCCTGAAATTTAAAATAATTTCTCACGAAACCATGACGGTTGATAATTTCTTCTGAACAGTATACTTTTAAAATATATATTCTAATAGATTCATTTTAAAAATATTACTATTTTATTTTTGTAAATAATATAAAACAAACACACCACCTCAAAACACAGCAAGAAAAATAGAAAAGAAAAAGTCAAGCCTTGTAAAAGTGGTGTTGTATTATCATCGTCCTCTATAACTATGTCAAAACACGAGTGATTATGTTAAAAGCATTATCCACAGAACAATTAAATTTTAATTCACCAAATTTGTAGGTTAATTATCTCAGTTCCAGTTTTATCATCTCACGTTGTAACTTCTAAATTTTGTTCTTTCTGATTGAACAAGTGCCACACTACCATAGAATCTAATATTATTTCCACTCGATGGGACCTTGCATCTAAAGCAATCGAGGGACTTTCCGTTACCACTGAGCTTCGACCAAATCGCTCCAACCATATGTAGATTAATTTGGACAAGGTAAGCATCACTTTGCCTTCGTTGTGAACAAAAAGGTCTACGAAAAAAAGTCCCCATCCTACTCTTTCTCATTGTGAACGAATTGATGTATTTAATAATTATTTTAATGGTTGCTTTTAAAATGGATAAAAAATATTACTTTTCTCGTATATATATCTTGGCTCTTAAACAGTTGAGCTAGAATTGTGTTCAGTTTTACATTTGTTATAAAAATTACAACTTTTTTTAATCAACCTCTATAATGTTAATATATACTCCAATCATAAATAAAGTTTTTAAAAAACAATTTAAGTCTAAAGGATAAATTGTTATTTTTAAATACCGAAATACAAATACACTTGAGAATTTTACACGGAAATGGCATGGCAGGGACCTAACTGAAATTTAACCTAATTTTCATATGGCAAGCGCGGAACTCGAGTTGAATCGGACAGATAGGAAATTGGGCTTTAAGCCCAATAATAAAATGTGCTTCTCTGGCCCAACGGCGTCACCTTAGGGTCTAATTATATAAATATGAGATCCTTCCATTCGAAAAACTCATCTCTCCTTCGCATCTCTCG